CTATTGCGAGTCGGTGGTCGCATTGGAAGATCCGATTCATCCAGTGAAGAGAGAAATCCCCACATTATTACAGGATGTCATCACATTACTGCTCTGTTAGTTAGACATTTCCATGAGCAAGTTCAGCACCAAGGTCATCATTTTACTGAGGGAGTAGTAAAGTCTGCAGGTTTCAGGATTGTTGGGATGAAAAGGTGTATATCGTCCATACTCCGAAATGCGTCAATTTTCAAAAACTAAGAGGGAAGCACCTACAACAACAAATGGCAGAGTTGCCAGCTGACCAATTAAGCACTGAACCACCATTTACTAATGTTGGCATGGACATATTTGTCCCCTGGACTGTTGTTACATGCAGAACTCGTGGCGGAGTTGCTAACAATAAGCGATGGGCTGTGCTGTTCACATGCTTGAGCATTCGTGCAGTGCACATTGATTGATAGAATCAATGGACTCTTCTTGTTTCATTAATGCTTTCAAAAGATTTGTTTCTGTACGAGGACCTGTAAAGTTACTTAGATCTGACTGTGGGACTCATTTTACAGGAGCAGAAAAGATAGTGAACTTCTTGAATGGCAACAAGTGTAAATGGGAATTCAACCCACCTCATTCCTCTCACATGGGATGTTCTTGGGAACGCATGTTTGGAGTTGCAAGAAAGATCCTGAACTCTATGCTACTGGACCAGAAAACTTCTCAATTTACTCATGAAATCTTAGTCACTCTTCTTGCAGAAGTGTCTGCTATAATCAATGCAAGGCCATGGGTCCCTGTGTCGTCAGATCCAGAATTCCCAGTGTTGCTCACTCCAGCCACTCTTCTTACCCAAAAAATTGGGGTAGCCATTATTTCCACAGAGAAACTTGATTACCCTAACAAGCATCAATGGCGACGGGTTCAATATCTTGCTAATGTGTTTTAGAATTGCTGGAAGATGGAGTACCTTTCTAGCCTTCAAAGTCGTAATAAATGGCAAACTAGCAAACCCAATCTACATGTGGGAGACGTAGTTCTCTTGAAGGAGAAGATTCCCATCGTAACCATTGGCCCATGGGTCTTATTACAAAGACTTTGCCACATAACAATGGAAAGGTACGCAAGGTAGAAGTTAAAGTCATGAAAGAAGATTCTGCACACCTTTTACTCCAGGCCTATAAAGCAACTAGTACTTCTTTTGCCCAAAGAGGAAGACAAGTCATCAACCTGATTTAAAGGGAGGTAAGAAGGAATCGTGCATGCTGCTGCCTTCCCTCTGAATATGGATTTCCATGTTTCAGCCTGGACTTTCGAGACCAACATATGCAAGTATTTTGCTAAATGTTTGCATTGTTTTCCTTTATTTTTCCCTTCCCTCTTGTTTTGCAAATGTTCCTGGAAAGAATCTTCATTTCTTATATTGGACTAAAGTTTATTATAATAGAAATCATAGATTTCGACAGGAAGTGTCATGTTTCACATGACTGTCATATGCCTTTTAAGTGTTTTCTATATTTATCTCTGCTCCTCCCTTTCCTTTGGTTTAGTTAATGCTGTATAGAAAGCCCACCCTTCTTCCCAGAAATGCATTTCAGCAAGCCTCTGCACATTATGATCTTTTGACGTATCAGATGTTGATTGTTGTAAGATTCTCCCAGTTTATGGAACAAACTTCACAAGATCTACAAGATATCATCTTGATTGAGTCACTGACTGTGGTATCCAACTGAGATTGGAGTTATCGTTATCTTATCACAAATGTAAGTTACAGAGATCACACTGTCAATGCTTAGATTGGAGAGACAGAACACATAGCTAGCGGCTTTGTCACATAAAAGTGATCAGTATTGCCTGTTGGAGCATTGAGTGGCCATCCCATTTCTTCCTATGGTACAGTAACACATAAAAGATCTGGCCTGGAAAGGAAGCAGCTAAACATTTCTCAGAAGTTTGCACAAATGAAGTCAAATTGACAGTGGAAGTGTTCAAGATGCTCATCATGCAATTTGAGTAAAAAGTCACTTCCCTGACCTTAACTATACATACTTCAGCCAGATGTTTTTATCCAGTTATTTGAAAGCTTATGTTCTCATTGAAACTACCTGCTAAAATGCATACATGCAAAATGTTTTATACATGGCAGATAAAGGAGAGGATCTGGAAGATCAATAGAAAGATTTATGAAGTTTTGTTCTTAAGTGTATATTGTGATATTAGAAAAGTGGTTTCATATTTATATTATATGAAAAACTCCCATGCTACCACAAAAAATATGAAGCAGTCATTATTGGGTGACAAAACGCGCCAAGAGCATGGCCGGATGACATCACCATGCAAACAGTAATCAGAAGTCTGCCATCTTGGAGAAGTATCTGAAGCAAAAATCCAGCCTTAAGGGGGAAATTGTTAGTTTTAAAGAGGCAATCTATTCTATGTGTACTGGATGTAGTGCACTCATTTTGTGAGTGAGATTTTAATTCTTTATTTTAATCAACTGTTTTGGTGAACTGATATATTGTGCAATGAGGTTCTTTTGTTCCCTTGAGCTAATATATGGAGGAATGGTGTTCCTTGTGAGGATAAAGCACCGAGAAAAGCTGCATGGAGACACAGCCCTTTTAAAGAGCAAGGTGCATATCAACCTAGTTACAGGTCGAAATCTGAGGTAAGCAGCCTATTTGGAAGATGGAAGAAGCACTTCTAGGTGGTGATTCATTTTAATATCTGCACTGGTGGATGCTTTATCAGTATAGATTCATGTTAAGGTGGAGGAAGAAAACAGTGGACTTTTTACATATATTTATTAATTATGTCACTATAGATTGTTTTTCACTATTCTAATGTCATTTGCACAGATGTAGATGCTTATTATATTATAATAGTGAACGTTTTGGATTTGGCACTTTATAGTTAATGATGATATATACTGCATATATAGCTAAGTCTTTTTCAGTCACATGTGTTTTATGTGCATGAATAGCATTTGTATGATGGTTTTATATCTAGTCACGTGATTTGTTTTTTAGGGTTATATAGGGTTTGATTGAGCTGAGTATTTTTTTGTATATATCATACTTATATTAGATGAGCAAATTTAAAGCTGAACTTCTGGAATGACCTTTCTCTGATTGGACAAGGCAAAGATTGTGACATCATCTTACACCCCTGTGTTTAGTATACAGATGGCAAGTTGCTCTGGCAGCATCCAGAAGAGACCAGTGCAGGCTACTACAGGGAATTTCTGCATCCCCAGTGGCCCTCCATATGTGAACTGGACCAAAGCACGTTAAGAAGAAGAAAAAAAAAGATCATCACTAGAGCTGAATTTTAAATCACTGTGTACTACCTAATAACTAACCTCTATAAATACAGTTTAGGGTGCAGTATTTTGGCTGGGCAAGAATAACCCATTATGGTGTTACCAGACTTATGCAGTAAATAACATTTATATAAAAATTCTATGACTGATGGAAAAAAATCATTAGCCCAAGAGGAATTAAGCAACCCTATAACTCATTTCCAGCTGCAATCTGAGTGTGTTTAAATAAAACTGAGCCCACTTAACAAGGAGTTTGATAGAGTGTTAAGAATCCTCAAATTTACCTACAAAATAGTTACTAACTGTTGAATATCATAGCAATTGGGTATTACTACTGATCATTATATATGTGTAACACTTTTTAGTCTCAATTTATGACTTTGGATGTATTTTCAATTGCCATTTGTTCTTAGCAGGATCAAATTAAATCCTGCTAAGAACAAATGATTAAATGATTAAGAAGATAATAAACTATTTCTTTAAAACAAGTAAAATTATGAATACCATTTTTTTATGTATATATTTAGATGCATTTGCTTTAGGTCACCCCTTGAGGTGCACAGATCATTCTTTTGCCAGACGTATCCTAAGGAATGATTGGAGGCTGCCATTACTGCATTAATTTTGTAACAACTTTTATTTTTTGTCTCTTCTGATGTTTTTTCAACAATTATGTTTAATTAATGATCATCTACAAATATAGAACTTATTTAGGGAGACAAGAAACGTCAGCACTCAAATTCTCGAATGATTTAACACAGGTAAAATCTCACAAATAATGTAGAGTTCAACGTTGCTGTGAACAAACATTTTTTGACAGACTGTACAAATGCCTTACTTTTTCTGGAAATAATAATAATTCATAGGCAGGATGGTGTTATGTTTTCATGAAGCTATGTATGCCCCCTTACTGAACTATCACAGCAGCTATATTCTCCCTGGATCCAAAATTGGACATGTTTAAAGGAAATTTATTATCATGACATACACTTTATGGTGTAACATAGGCACTGTAATGGCAATACAAACAATAGTTTTTTACAGTCCAATATACTGTAAGCTTACTTGAAAATGTTCCTTTCATGTTGTGAGTTCTGCCTGTCTGCTGGCCATCTATTTACTCAATTTCCTAGATTCCCTGAATGCTTTGCAGCTTCTCCTCTGCTGATTACTTTCAGTTTCTATAGACTGCATATTCCATGTAAACTGTAATTTTTGTTAAATGCCTCCTAAAATACAGTACTTTTTCTTTGTGACACAGCAGTGTACATTCACAGGACATAGGGAATACATAATTTAACCACATGCCTACAGGGCACTTATACCCTCTTCCTGCCCAGGCCAATTTCCAGCTTTCATGCAACACTGTACCCATATGAAATTGCTATTATTTTTTTGTGACAGAGCTTTATTTTGGTGGTATTTGATCACCTCGGGGTTTATAATTTTTGTTAAACAAACCAAAAACCACTGAAAATTTTGAAAAAAAACACTTTTTTTCTTAGTTTTTGTTATAACATTATGTAAATAAGTGATTTTTCTCCTTCATTGATGTGCGCTAATGAGGCTGCAATGATGGGCACTGATAGGTGGCACTGGTAGGTGGCACTGATGGGCATTGACAGGCATCACTGATTGGCACTGAAAGCAGCATTCATATATAAGCACTGATAGGCGGCACTGACTGGCACTGTTAGATGGCACTGATAGATGGCACTGATGGGCACTGATAGGCGGCACAGATGCACACTGATAGGTGGCACTGACTGGCAGCACTGATGGGCGGCACTGATTGGCAGCACTGATAGGTGGCACTGACTGGCATTGATAGGTGGCACTGATGGGTGACACTGACAGGCAGCTCAGATGGGCACTAATATGTGGCATTGATGTGCACTGGTAGGCACTGAAATGTGGCACTGATGGGCACTGGCAGGTGGCATGGATGAGCACTGAGAGCTGGCACTGATAGTCACTGACAGGTGGCACTGCTGGGGCTACACAGATCATCAGGGCACACTGATCATCAGTGCTCTGATGATCTGTGTACATGTCCCCTCCGAGGAATGCCGATTACCGTCTCTCCTCTCCTCTTGAGCTGTCAGTGTGACAGCTCATGAGGAGAGAAATGCCGATAACCGGCATTTCCCTGTTTACATGTAATCAGCTGTGATTGGACACAGCTGATCACATGACCGAGCCAACATCTTCGGCTCTTTCCGTCGATCGGTGATCCGCTTTGTCCAAGGGACACAGTGCACCGCCTATCGCCGCGCTGTGCGCTCCCCGAGCCGCGCATGCATGGTTAGAATAGGAGGATGTCATATGACGTCCTCCCAGAACAAGAGAACCGTCTTGCGCCTGTCATTGTACTATATGGCGGGCGGGAGGCAGTTAAAGAAGTACTTGTGTGATGATTTTTAAAGTATGTTTACAAACTTCAAGATTGTTTAGATTAATAGGCGTAGGCTAGACATAATTGATATATAATGTGGCAATAATATATTATTTTACATTTTGACCATAGATAGTTTAATAATGCTTGGATTTATTTTTCTTCTTTTCTTTTTGCTGACAAGATTATCATGAGTACTTAATGGTAGTATATGAATGGGTTGACCCTGCATACTCTAAAGTGCTGAAAATGATATTTTTCATATATGAGGGAAGTCCCTTGGATAGCTGTCACCAGAATAACTGCTTCCTTTGAAAGATTTCCCCACTATTACTGTTCTGGTGGTAAAATAAAGTTTTGAATTTTTACCCTAACTTTAATTTCTGGTGCCATCAATGCTTGGTCATTCCCTCAGGAATAGTGAAATAGTAAAAAGGCTCCAAGAATGCTGCATCAAAATTTTACAATTGTTTTGGTATACAGCTTTCAAAAAAAGACATTGTGATTTGTTTATCCCAGATCAGGTTTGCCAGATTTCCCTCTTATGTAGAATCTTAACAAATAGTGAGCACATACTGTCCCATTGCTAATCGGTTCAGCTTTTCTGACTTGTTGCTTTAAAAAAGAATATTCTAATATACATTTTAGGAAGATCAAACTTGCCTAGTCTCTCTGTCTTGCATTGCTGTCTAGTAAAAACACTTTCATGGCTTGCTGCTTGTCGCTGCAATATTTGTGGTGTGTTACTGAATAGGAGATCACAGCAAGTTGTGAGCTGTGACTTGTTTTGCCCCTTCAAAACATACTCATGATGTGTAGATATGTTCCAAACTTTCTTCTCTTGTCATTTATGAGCTATTAGGTTGCTGACTGTGTAACCCAGTGGTGAATAAATATCACCAAAAGAGTCACCTCAAACAGAGAAGAGATGGGTACAAATAGAACAATTCCTACTTCCTAATGGCACACGAGCCACAATGGGAGCCCTCACCCTAACCCATAGAGCTCCAAGATACTGCTTAGACACAATAAACATAATCCTCCGCACTTGGATATCTATCCTGCAAACTACATCACAAAGTCACCCTACAGTTAATGGCTTTATACCATTACTCTCCATCTCATCTCAGCACTTACACATGATCTTGAGCTAAAATCCTGGAACAGAGCAGGTATCCACAACCTTGCTCAACTGTATACAAAAGGTACTTTACGATCATTTCACCAACTTTCAGAAACCTACCATATCCTATCTAAGGATTTCTTCAAATACCTAAGAATCCATCATACATTACAAAACCTGGAATACCAAGAAGATCCTCTTCTTCGATCACTGACTAACCTTTATGAAAAGAAAGACCCTCATAAACGTGGCATATCATTCATATATAACACCCTCCTCCAACGCTTCCAGCCAGACAAAAGCTAATACACAGATGGTACCTTATTCCACAACAATTAGTAGCACGATCTTCCTCCCATTCTTCACTTTGTTGGAGGAATTGCAATCAACTGGGATCCCTGTACCATATATGGTGGGAATGTCCTCTGATCAGCTCATTTTGGACAGATACATTCTCACTTATAGCAACGATTACGGCTTCATCTCAAGCTCCTGACCCAGCTTTAGCACTTCTAGGTATAGGAATAAACTCCTGGCCTCTCCAATCCAGAATTATATTAATACATATTCTCATAGCTGCAAGATTAAGTATTGCCAGGCTTTGGAAACAACATACTACACCTTCCATTCATACAGTAATTGACAAACAACACTATAGAAAAAAACAACACTATAGAAATACTAGACAAATGTATTGATGATAGTAACAACCACTGAAGAAATGTAACCAATATCGTCTGTTTACAAATGCTGAATATACTTCTATTTTATTGTCTTCAAATGTTACAAAACTGTGATATGCTACTACGAAACCACTGCTTATTATTGTAAACATGTAAACGGCCAATAAAAATTTAAAGTTTATTTGGGTACAGTTTTGCATAACTGAGTTATTATCTTTCAAAGTGTGAGAGTACTGAAAGCTGAAAATTGGGCCGAAAGTGTCTGGTATTGAGATGGTTAATTTTAAGCCAAACTGCAAAATTAAAATTTACCAAAAAACAGGCGTATGGCATTTGTCTTGCATCAAATTTCTGTAAAAGAGGTATACAGTTAACCACTTGCTGGCTGCGCTATAGTTGAAAGATGGCTACTGCATGGTCATCCCAGTTCTGGGAGGCCATCTATTGACGTCCTCCCCAGTGATCTCGATGTAAAACAATTGCTGGTTATCGGCAATGCTTTCCCCACACTGTCACAGGGTGAGGAGAGGAGAGCCTGTAGCTTGCAAGTGTGAAAGGCGACATCTTCACTGATAATCAAGGCACTGATTATCAGTGTCCTGATTATCAGTGCGTCCCCAACAGTGTGCATCAGTGCTGCTAAGCAGTGTCCATCAGTGCTGCTAATCAGTGTCTATCAATGTTGCCAGTCAGTGCCTCCTACAGTGTTGATCAGTGCTGATAATCAGTGTCCATCAGTGCTGCCAGTCAGTGCAATCTATCAGTGCCTCCTACAGTGTCCACCAGTGCTGCTAATCAGTGGCCATCAGTGCTGCTAGTCAGTGGCCATAAGTGCTGCCAGTCAGTGCCTTCTATAAGTGCTGCCTGTTAGTGCCCATCAGTGCCATCTATAAGTGCCCAATATCAGTGCAACCTCATCAGTGCCTCCTCATCATTATCCATCAGTGCTACTTATCAGTACCCATCAGTGCTGCTTATCAGTGCACATCAGTGCAGCCTAATCAGTGCACATCAGTGAAGGAGAAAAAGTACCTGTTTGCAAAACAGAAACTAAGAAAAATTTTTTTTTTTCAAAATATTTGGTCTTTTTAGCATTTGTTTAACAAAAATAAAAAAAACAGTGCTGATTAAATACCACCAAAAGAAATCTCTATTTGTGTGAAAACAATTATAAGAATTTCATGTGGGTACAGTGTTGCATGATTGCGCAATTGTCAAAGTGCAACAGCGCTGAAAGCTGAAAATTGACCTGGGCAGGAAGGGGATAAAAGTGCCCGGTATACAAATGGTTAAGAATGTAGGTGCCATGACATGACTCTGCGTAACTTGAATGCATTTTAGATGCACACTGAGGGAGTGATACTGCTGGCAGTTCCTGAAGTGGATTTCCTTCCACCTCAGTGCCAGTGTGAAGAGTTCCATAGGATCTAGATGCCATGCACACCAGCAGCTCGAAAACCTCTAGAAAAAACACTGGATAAAAATGCTAATATTACCATTTTGCTGGCATTTTTGCAGTGTTTAGGAGCATTTTCAAAAAAGTGTTCAGAAGCACCAGCATCTTTTAAGGAGCGGCAGCCTCTGACATCCTTAACAACCAGCCGGTTGTTAACAACGGATGAGTCATCAGATTTTTAATAAAGGACTTTTCAAAAACTGTCTCTGTGTTTTTATTTATTTTTACACTTTTTTTGGTGAGTGAGTAGGGGTAAAATGTAACAATGTACAATTAAATGAACTGTGACAGATATTGTGTGCACTGGAACACTAACATTGTCCCAGAGGCAGGGGCGGACTAACAACTCATGGGGCCCCCGGGCAATAGGGGATCATGGGGCCCCCGTTTCCTTGCCCAAACTCAAAAAAGCCTATGAAAAAGGTACCAGGGGCATCTCATGGGGGCCCCCTACTGACCCCCGGCCCTGGGCAGTGCCCGAGTTTCCAAATGGTCAGTCCGCCCCTGCCCAGAGGACACCTACAGAGTTTGATATGCACTGGGGATACTGACAGATGTTGATGTGCACTGGGACACTATTTCAAATGTTGCTGTGCACTGGCACAGTATTGCAGATGTTCTGCACTGGGCATGCTGTAACAGATGTTGATGGTCCACTGAGGACACAGACAGATGATGACAGTGCACAAAGGACACCAACAGATGTAAAAGGTCCATTGGGACACTGACAGATGTTGACGTCTACTAGGGACACCAGTAAATGTTGACGGTCGACTGGGACACCAACAGATGTTGAAGGTCCACTAAGGACACCAACAAATGGTGACAGTCCACTAGGGACACCGACAGATGTTAATGTTACAATGGCACACTGACAGATGTTGATGGGACACTTTGACAGATGTTGATAGGACACTGGTACAGATGTTGATATGACATTGGTGCAAATGTTGATATGCACTCGGACACTGTGACAGATGGTGCTTGGTGCACTGGTGACAGATGGCTGCACTGTGTGGGATCTGTCTGTAACTGTACAGTAAAATCAGTAGTTACACACAGATCCCTGACAGGCTGCACATATCAGCTCTCCCTCTTCTCACGTGAGCTCTCTGTGTGCAGTTACTGTGTTTGGACCCAGCCATCAAATGATCAGGAGGGTCAGTCAGAGAGTGGATCTCCAGGTCTGTGGTACGCTGTGTCCAAGGGACACAGCCATCACAGGATCGTGCTGCTGCGTGGCCCTAGGAATGGGAGGACGTATGAGCACTTCCTCCCAGAATGGTGTTTGTCGCACCCAGAGGTTTATCTGCAGAGGCTGGGTGGGAAGCAGTTAAGAAAAATGAGATTTGTGTAAAAAATTACAGTGTCAGAAAATTTTCATTATAATTACAAGAG